AAAATGCGAGAAAAAAATACAAACGAATATATATTAACCTTCGTTAGCAAGTTTTGCATTATTGATATAAGATTGTCGACGACTATTTAGCACTTCCCTTAACATCTGGCCTTTTAATAAGACTGTGGTAGGCTGGTGATTGCTTACTGGCGCACTGGGAATGCTTTCAGCAGCTACCGGAATTTCTTGTGCGGGGTGTACCACTGCAGGGGAAGGATCCTGCAAAAATCTTGGAATAACGGAAAACAAAAATGATTTTCCAAAAAAAATCGTCAGATGAATCTCAATTCATCGGAAAATATCTACCTGAGCAGTCGCCGGCACAAATTATTCATTTTTTTTAACGTCAAATCTTCCCTGCCTTCAGATTTAGAAGCAGTTTTTTTTGCAATATTTCCCTACATTCTCGGACGTGATAACTTTATTTCATTATATTCCTTATGGAAAAATTCAAGAAAAAAGAAGTATTCACTTTTTAGAAGGCGGAAATTTTGTCGAAAGCAACTTTGGCGCTAGCATGTGCTAACAGCAAGTTTGGCGATGGTTTCCTCTTTAGCAGGTTGCCTGGATGTGTTTCAGAAATTTTAAAGATGCAAACAATGAGTGTCTCTGGTTAGAAGACTGGAAAAGGACGGGGCTTGAAATCTTCTATGTGTTAACATACGCAGTATGTTTGGCATTGTTGGTCCACTATGGACAGGAACACAGTCGAATTTTGAAAGTTACGAAAAAACTAGAAGTGCCATTTAGATCTCCCAGATAAGCAAGCCTGTACGTACATTGAGCTGATATCCTTTCCGTGTTTCATCCCTGAGCTGTAAACACAGACGGCAGAATCGGTGCGGAATGGAGTGGGAATCATCAGTACAGTGCCTCATTCCGCCATGTTAAAAGGAACATGTGGATTACCACGTGTAAGCTGATAGCGGATATGATCTCCTAGCAGGCGTCATTTCAATTTGCCATCAAAACTTAAAAGCGAATCGCTCAGAAACTTTTTTTCCATTAGCAAAATCGAATTTTCTCACGGCAGCAGCACAACAAGTCAACAAACTAAAATTTACAATGTAACAAAGCTGTACCTGCCGATGTCTGGGTACCGGTGGAGCAACTTCTGCTGATGCTGGTGGTGGCGCAGCTGACTGAGATGCCTTAAGTGAGACTGGGATCTCGTTTTCATTCACTGTTTTACCAGCTTCAACCTTCCCGATTAGCTCGTTAATCCTAAGCAATCCTCGTTCGAACCTGCGCAAAAGCTAACCATTCATAATGCGAGATTGAAGATGTATAAAAAAATAAAATTCCGCCGCAGTGTGGGGTTAAGACGTATATGAATCAATGGACCGAAACGTCTTAGTTCACTCTTAACC